TTTTTTTTTTTTTTAATCTTTTGGAAGAAGTTCTACGCAAGAATATATAATCGTTCACTGTAGTAAATAGATGATTGCATTAGAGGAAAGCCAAATAAAGTATTGATATGCATGAATGATTATAAAAACGTTCGAATCTTTTAGATGGAATCTGAACAATTTTTTCTTTCGAAAAAGTTTAGTAAGCGTTTTGTTATATCCACCGATCATATGAAAGAATATAGATTCTTTTGTGCAGTACCAAAAAAAAAAAAAAAAATAGTAAAGTTCGGTGTAACTTTATTTCGACTGCAAATTGAACTTCTGTGTCCTATTTTTGTTTTTCCAGATTGGGATTTATCATAGATTTCCTGTCAAAGGCGACTCTAGTCGGGTTCATGGCCGGTGCAGCTATTATCGTCTCATTGCAACAGCTAAAAGGATTGCTCGGGATTGTACACTTCACCAGCAAAATGCAACTAATTCCCGTGTTATCTTCTGTCTTTCATCACATGAATGAGGTACAATATCTTTTCAAGATCGATAATTTGTGGAGAACTTAGCCGTTCGACCAATAGGCACTCTGTTTATCAAGCAGCAACCTTTACAAACTGAGGGTTATTTGTGCATTTTATTCTTTTTTTTCTTTTTCTTGCTCTTCCAGAAAAATAACACTTAAAGTTTGCCTTTCTAAATTATGTTAAAAGACAATGTAATTTGTGTGTGTGCAGTGGTCCTGGCAAACCATTGTGATGGGAGTTGGTTTTTTGGTCTTGTTACTAATAACAAGGCAGATTGTAAGTGCCTTATCATCCCCAGTTATCTTTTTTTTTTTTTTTTTTTTCCCTATTTCGGCCAATATTTTCCTCATCAGTTACTGGTTTTATTAATTCGCGTTAAAATTCATGCAGAGCATGCGAAAGCCGAAGCTTTTCTGGATTTCAGCAGCCGCACCACTGGCATCGGTTGTTTTGTCGACCACATTAGTTGTCTGCCTTAAATCCAAAGTTCCAGATATTAAAACTGTAAGA